AGATCTGCTTTCTGTGACAAGTCTCAAGGCATATAGTGGCAGTAGTTCAAGTGAAATCATCCATCCTCCAAAATCAACACTGAAAAAGGGAAAAAAAAAATTTCAGTGCTCATTGCTTTCACAGTTGTGCGGCTTAGAGCAGGTTGCTGTACCTGATTGAGCCAAAGATTACTAGGCTTTATTTTGATCAAAATTCCTTGTCCTGGAGAACTCAGAAGCCTGCCTAAGAATCTGTGAAAGCTTTTTAGGCATCTCCTGATGTGGAGCAATCTTTTCAGCTGTTAAACACACCTTTCCAACCTACAGAGGCTGGAGAATTTCCCAGCTGTGAATTCTAGAAGAGGACCAGGTTGTAGCAATACAAGTTGCCTGGTCTGTACCACAGATAAGCTGCTTGTGTTCCAGAAGCCCACACCAATACAGAAAATGGATGATCCCAGAACAGAATGAAAACCTGCAAAGCTGACAGAGAGGACCTGTTATCAGTAGTTCCTGAATATTGTACTGTAGAAACTGCTGACAAATGACATGAGGTGCCATTCTCTTTTTTTTTTTCCATGTCAGAGAATTGAGTCTGCTAGAAACAGACTACCACTATGAAAATCTAGGAAGACATCCAAAAGGCTTCTATGTGGATAGAAAGGCTGCTGTAACAGTTTCAGCATCAGTACACCTTATAGTGTACTTTAAGGTGCTAAAGCAATGCTTTTCCTGCTAAAAAGAAAAGCAGTCGGATGAAGACCTTGCAAGTACAAATGTGCTGAGTTTATAATTTCATTTTATTGAAGAAATCAACAATGTGCTGGGCTCAGAACAAAGCACAACACTTCTGTTGCATTTCATTCCATCTCTAGTTTATTAGACAACCAGGAGCTCCCAAGGTGACTCAATCACTCTTGAAATGTTTGTAACAGATCTAACAGTTGATAGGCACTTGAGAAACAAATGACCTTTTTCTCACAGACAATAGTCTTAATTGTTCCTTGCTCCATGTTTGAAGTGTGTAAAATATAGTCTATTTGATCTTGTACAAATTCAGAAATTAACTAAGAAACCCGTGTCATAAACTTCGTGTAACATCAAAAGATACTATAGAAGGAAAGATAAAGAAGATGACACACTCTCATTCATCTTCTTTCCTTTTCTTTCAATCAATCCTTACTTAGTTCAACCAGTAGGGTATTCTCCTGCTGAATTCCCGGCCTTTGCAGATCACCAGATGTTCCTGTTAACCTAAGCATTCCATTTACCACCAGTGCAGGTGGCTGCAGTCTGGCTTTGCTCCAGGAATTCTTAATGTGTCCAAATGTGCTTCTAGCTATTGGTAAATGTTTTGCTCAGCCACACATTGTAATTCTTAAATCAGCTATTCTTTATTGTGTATGTGTTGAATCTCTTGTTACACTTCAGAACTCTGAGCCAAAGACAAGTAAATAACTTGTGAGCCAGAGACTGGGGAAGAAGGAGCAAGAAGTCATAGCTCTGTAAAAAACTTGAAAGGCCTCATTAGATGTCAGTAAGGCTGCTGCATTAGGTATCAGTTGTCACTTCCAACTGCTCTGTTTGACTGTTGCGCTTTGAGAAATTGCAGTTGACAGAACAGTCTCTGTCACCAGTTCGTGTGACAAAGAGGTGCTGCATTTTTTTGATCTAGAGGTGTTGACTTGCTTTGGTGGATTTTATACCTCATCTCTGCATATGCCATGCAGCTGTTCTTATGTCTCAGGTCTGTGTTTTACCTGCTGCTATGGTTATTGTGTGAATTCAGGTGAGAACATGTAGTGGCCTCCTTAGTCATCAGTATGGCCTCCCAGTGAACACCCTAGGAAGAGGTAAAGTGGTGTTGTTGATATTTTCAATGGTACCATTCCAGAGATGTCAGCATCAGAAACTGTCTTCAAGCCAAAATTTGAAGGAAATTAAATTGTGGTTTTCTTCAAAGTGAAAACAGGTCATAGGTCCAGCCACAGGTTCTTTGTTTTACACTGTAGAGTCAAAAATGGCAGCAGCAAAATGTACTTGTGGCAAAGCCTGCAGCTACCCCTCAGGAAAAACAGCACTTTGTGTAATGTTTCCATTACTGCACAGCCACTGTAAAAAGAAAAAATATCTTCTCTTATTTTTTTTCTTTGATTTTTAGACTGCTACAAAAATTACAATTTAGAAATTACAAATAGTAAGATTTGAATTTTTGAAAGAGGGTATGTACTCTAGACATGGTGTTAGGATGATGGGACTCTTTATAACTTGGTTTCCCAATCTGCCTGACACATCAACCACTGAGCCTGCTTCACCTCTTCCACTATAAAATGTTGATGTTTATGTACTTCAAGAGGACTGCTTAATTAACAACAGCTTGTAGAGTGATTTCAAGATGGAAAAACATGGCAATTACTGCAAACAGTAAAGGCACTGCAGGCTAATTTTCATTGATGATAAAGTTGATTAACAAATACACAGCTCTAATAAACACTGTTACTGCTTTTGAGTGCAGGAGCAGGTGAAGAGTTGCCATGAGAACTGATGCAGCTGAGTGTGCTCAGTTCAACACTGCTGATGTCTCTTTATTATTATGGTAATTGTGTTCATTGATTACTAGGAGTAGATTTACCAAAGTGGGGGACTGTCACTCCCTCTTGACTCTGCCTGCTGGTGTACATGCTCTGTGTCACCTCAAAGGAATAAGCACCTAGTGACAGTCTCACTTCTTCTTAGAGCCCTCTTGTGATGGGCTGTCTCCCGGGGGATGCCAACACAAAAACAATAGAGGGCTCTAAGGCACCATACAAACAGGATGCTCTATAGAAGAGGCATAGTTTATGAGCATTGCCCTTTTTTAGTTTTCAATGCTAATCATCAGCATTCTGAAATTTGTTTTCTATTCCTTAAGACATCGCAGGTGATTTTGTTTTGTTTGTAGTTTTATTGGTTTTGTTTTGTTTTGTTTTTGTTTTGGTTTTGTTTGTTTGCTGGGGTTTTTGGGGGGTGGTTGGGATTTTGTTTTTATTTTTATTTATTTATTTTTTTTAAGTTGAAGCATTTTGCAATGATTTAGGGCAATACTAAGGATCTTCTAACCAGTAGTTTGAGAATTCAAGAACAATTGTGTTTTTCATCTATTCCTACCCACTTGTTTTATTTTGGTATATCCAGCTCCAGGAAATGGTCCACTGCATAGTAACAAATGAATTAATGTCAAAATAATCTTTTTTTCTTTCCCTGAAACAGCTAAAACTCTCATTTAAGAGGGATAAATACAGGTACACAAACCTCATTATTTTCAAATTCTGTCTTGTGAATTATTACTTGTTGCTTTAGCAACACAATCAGAAACATGTTTTTAAAAGGAAAAGACACATTGCTTTCTCTTGAGTAATGATCTGTACAGCCCTTCTTTGCCATGTTCTTATTTTCAATAAAATATTTACTTTCTTTTAAATAGCTAAAGTGATGCATAGGAGTAGTTACGTGGGACCATTGCTAATTTTGCTAATTGTCATGATGAAATGCCATTGTTATCTACAGGGTAGAAATTTCCATAGTAAAATGCCCTTGTGTCTTTACATCAAGTCAGATATAGAAAAAAATACAACTTGATTTTGCAGATCTGGTTTCTATGCATATTCAAAACCAACTCTGCTAAATAAATTACTTAATGGGAGTTTACTGTCTTCCTCCTGTTGTCACCACACAGTCAAGTAGGCAGAGCAGTCTGCTTTTGTCATTGTACCATCAAAAACCAGGTAGTCACTTGTAAAGTTCCAATCAGTTATAATGCATAACACAATAGAAAGATGTCGGTGTGAATATAATTTGAGACATGCTCTATTAAATAACTGCCTGGTAAAATAACAACTGTTTTTGATTATTAGAGCCTTTAATGCTGCTAAATGGTGCATGTAAGGCAGAGGACCAGATTAATTCTAATCCCAGCTGAGACTGGAAGGTTGAGCTGAGCTGATCTGATGAACAGCCAATAAATACAGACAATCACAACGTCATTTTAATAGGCTCTCTGAGAAAATGAATAGATGAATAGTTTTTTTTCTTTAAATATCTGTCTACAGCTCATCACCAGGAACACAACTTCAGTTTTATTTTTCATTTCATGTACCAAGGTAGAGAGTGCATGCTTTAGAAAAGAAGCTCTACAAATAAATTCATACCATAACACAATGCAGTATGTAGTTAAAAAGAAAAGTAATAAGGTTTGGGAATAATCTGAACAGCTTGATTTTTCCTGACCATTACTTAAGAACTTGAAATGTGAGGTCTGTTAGAATTAATGAATACTACTCAACATGAAATAATGACACAACATAAGGGCTTTGTGCCTTTTTATCAAGAACAGTAAAAGCAGAAAATACATGCCACCCCTTGACTGATCTCACATCACAATATTTTGATTACTATTAATAGTCATATGCCTCAATAAGCTTGAGAACTGTGGTACATCAGTCCTGCACCCACTGTGTTTGGTGACAGAACGAAGACTCCCATAGGTTTCAGTACCTGCAAATTGTAGCCTTAGTGGTGAGCATAGAAACAAGGATATGAGCTTATTTATTGAGCTATGTTATTAGAGTAGCAAAGTCTCTTGGTCCTTATTCAAAGAAATTGCTTATCCCCATCAATTGCAATTAGTGCTCCATGAGTAAGTAAGTTTTGGTATTCTTATTTGGAAATCAAGGATTTAATTTTTTTTTAAGAAGGAAAAAGGGGATGCTTTTTGTATGTAGTATTGCTGCACTCACCTCTGAGGTGGGAGTGGCAGCTAAGCCTTTCAGCCTGCAGCTTGCAGCTGGAAGGGGGTGCTTGGTCAGGGTGAAACTCTGCCAGCAGATCCAAAAATGTTTATTGTCTCAGATTTTGTTATTTTTATCTGATGTTAGTAGCTCCTCTCTATTGTGTTTTATACAGTTAATCCTTAGCAGCAGGAGTCCACCCCTGCTTTCAATGCTCTGCTGACTTCCTTTCTCATCCCCCTGGTACTTTTTCAGATCTGCAGCTCCCACTTGTGACCCCAGACTGTTCTGGCCAGCCGGGACTGTCAAGGGCCAGCACTGCACGAAATGTGTCCCAGGGCAGCGCAATCACTGAGCGGGCACGTGCCTCCCATCTGCAGCACTGGTGGAAGCAGAGCATGAGCACAAAGCTGTAAGTTAATGATGACCCACCCTCAGAAACTGCCAGTGCTTCAGCATACAGTTATTTGGGAGTCAAGGGTGCAGCAAAAGAGGAGACCACAGCAGATGGAGCACTTGGATGTATTGCATCTCATACTTGCAGAATGTTTGTTTATATTAGGCAAGTTTGCACATGTTTTGGGTATAAACATTTAAGTCTTTGAGGCATCAAAACACCTTGACAAATAAATACAGACCCATGAGACCCTGAACCTTTAGGTCTCATGGTGGCTGAGCTGTTTCCTGCTCCTATCCCTGCTTTGCCCCTACCACAGATACACATCTGTAGTCCTTTGCACAGAGATCCCCCCTTAAGGTGAAGAACTGAGAAGTACTTGATAATTTGTCTGTTATCAAGTGCTGTTTCCCACATCACACTATTTCACAAATTTTATGTTCTGAGGACCTGCTATTCTGCAGAAGGGAGAAAAATTTCTCTTTAAGATGGATGTTATTAGACTTACTTAACAGAGCAAAATTGAAGTCTGGAAAGGCCACATATTGCCAAAAATTACACAGAAATAGAAGAAGAACCCCTTGTCTTTTGCCAGTAATCAGTCTTAGAGACCCATAATCTCTATAGTCATCTTCCCATTGAATTTTCTATGAGATAAATTGATACTCAGAAATTTCAACAGACAGATTAATAACGCCATTGTGAATATGCACAAGTATAGCTCAGATTTCCCCAAGTAATGAGCTTTTAAATAATTTTTTTTTTCCTTGGGTTTGCTTTTTTTCTGTTCATTTTCTATGGCTGACTCTCTTTGTGTGTACTATGGAAGCTGTAGGCCAGTTTAGAGAGCCACGTCACTTCTTAAACAAAATTGCTTGCAAAATTCTTAGGTTTAACTGATAGGCTATTTCTAGGTATCCTAGTCTTTCTTAATATTTGGAATGATTGTGTATGGTTTTCATTAGGGGAAGTATGCAGCACCACATGTTTCTGTCTCTTTATTACAGAAGTAAGTGCTAACAATATTGCGGTCTTTCCATAGGGTTAGGTGGGGATGTTCTTCTGATTTCATTTCAAATCAGCATTAGGGTACCTTGACTATCCATTTCTGTTATTTAACATGCTTGGATTTCTTTAATGTTTAATTTAATTTTGATTTAATCATTCACTCTAAGTATCATGGATTTGTAACACTTAATTATTCCCACAATGCCCATATGTACTCTCAAGTATCACTCCCTCCAAATATAGTTGCTTCCAGTATTTGGAAGCTAAGAGTTAGAAATGCTGAAATCAGTAAAATTACTTGATGTAAAGCTTTGTCCCAGCCAACTTGATTTAACCTACTGTGTTGCTTGTTGTTGGGGGAAAAAGGGCTAATTTCCTATTTCCACTAATTTCACTATTTCACTACTTTCTTATAGCTCATTTGCAAAGACCTGTGTTAATACTACATATTTTTATTACTTTTCAGGAATCAAGTATCAACATCAGACCACAATAACGTCCTTAAAGCTCAAGACTTTTCTGTAATCATCAAAGCATATGTGCTTGTGACATCCTTAACACCTCTGCGGGCATTTATTCATTCAACCACCACTGTCTGGCATCCACCCAAGAAGAAGCATTTTACCATAAAGGTAAAACATTTAATTTCCTCAGTTTTCCATTTTTCAGGCAAAGTACATAGACAGAAAACTAGAGAATATATTTCTTCTCTTTTACTCCTTCTTTATTAGCAGACCACAGCCTACAAGGAATATTCTTCTAATGTACAGTTTTCATTTCTCAGAACAAGAGGAGTTTTCTTCACGAAGCAGGAAAGCTTTGCCCTGTGCACTACGGGGCTGGGATTTGCAGGTGTCCAAGCCCATTTTTATTGGTCACATTTGACAGCAGTTGCAAGGTCAGAGTTTTCTCTAAAGCACAGCAGTGTGGGTGCTGGCATGAAGCAGCAACTTTTGCTGGGATATTGACAGTGTTGTGAAAAGGGAAAGTAAATATTTAAAACAGTTTGTTTAGATTTCTTTTTTAGGTGCAGTAAAACAGACTAGAGGAGGGTCAGGGCACTTCTAAATCAGGGGAATGCAAGTATACCATGGATAGGGTGATTCCCCCATGGTCTAAATTTTATGAAGAAGGATATTTGTCTTAGAATAATTCAGGACATCTCCAAGTGCATGGAGATACCCCTCTCACTCCACATCTTGCTTGCTCAGCAAATATGCCTTCCCATTCCTTTCTTCTTCTAGCAGGGGACTGTGCTCTTTGTGAAGAAGCTACAGTTGTGCTGCTGCTTCTTCTCTTTTGAAGAATTAAGGTCACAATGTGGCAATGATTTTCTTGAGGTCACACAGATTAGCTCCTGCAGCAGCTGTTAAAGGATGGGTTTGCTTTGCCTACATAGCCTTCTTGGGGTAGGAGCAGGTCACGGCTCTGGATCAGTCTGGTATCACTGTGGTATCACTGTCAGGACTGTTGATGATATCAGCCATTTGGTACGTTCTACAATTTTAGCTCTTGCCAGGTGGAGTACCTAGTTTAAGCTCATTATCTAATTCTAGTCATTGGAGAAACAGACACCTGTAGAGAACAAATCATCCCACTTAATTTAGACACCAGTTTTGGAATGAGTTTCCTGGTGAAAGTGTTTGCTTCCTTCTATGGGCTATGCCATTCTTAGAAAACATGCCAAATTCTGGATTGCCAAAACTAGGTGAGCTGAATCTATTTCTCTCTTCCACCCCCACTTAAGCTATGGAGGCCCATGGAGATACATTACTTTGCCATGTATTTTCCTCTATTTACATTTATGAAGAGTAATGGTTACTCACTTTCAAACCCCGGTATTCAGTTTTGGTTTATTTTTATTAAAATAGCTCAATATACAGCAGCATCACTGTTGCAGCTGAAGTAGGGACTACTTTAAAGGGTAGTAGTCATTAGTAATTGTTATATGACTCTGAAAAACAATTCCCACTGAGGGAAGTCTCCTGAACAGGGTTCCAGCCACCATTTACAGAGTATTTTGGCTGCTGAATAAGCAATGAAAATGATGGATGGAAGTAGCAGTGCATCTGCAGTGGTTCCAATCTGTTTACTGCTGTTCTAGCATTATGCCTTCCCATAGCTTCAGACATACTCATCACAATTGTGAAAAATACACAAAAGATAGGCACCATTTTGTGAAAGAAAGCACATTTGTAGTGATGTAGATATTGAAGTGTAAATTAACAAAATGATGGAAAATGGGGTGTGTAAGGCTGCCTCTCAGCACAGTGTGCCCTGTAAAGCACATGGAAGGGGCCAGGGAAATCCAGAAGGGAGACACTAGGAATTCATAGAGTGGCTAGAAAGCAGTGCTGAAAAAATCATATACATGGTCTGTTCTTGATGCAAAGCGAACAGGCAAGTCACCCACCAGACAATACTTGGGAAGAGGCAAATTCAGCCATTAATATCATTTGTTAAGAGCTTTTGTCAAGTTTCTCAAAAACTTCATTGAGCCCTTCATTATTTGCCAATGCGACATACAATGCCAGGAGAGCCATCTCTCCCAAAGTAGCCAGTGGAGCAATGCATGTTTGTACCAGCCAAGGAGCCTGGTCCTGAAAGCTCCTATGCTTCAAGTTTCTGCCAGCTCTGTTGTATAGGATGGAAATTGCCATGTTTTGAAGCTTCAACCTGTCAATAGTCTATACAGACAGAATCTCCAAGACCTGTTTTTTTCCACTGATTGACAGAATACCCACTGGGTACTCAACATGCCTGGAGGGGAGACTTTGGTCTGAAAAAATTTGCCAGTGTTTTTTCCACAATGGATTAAGTTTTGTTTGGGTTTGTCTTTTATTTTATGTAGAGATGATAATAACTTTGATTATCTGCTTTCAGGAATGTTGTACCATAATTTAGAGACCTCCTCAGTGTGTATAGACCTCTGGTCAGGAAATTTTTTTCTTGTACCAGTATAATTACATTTTTAATGAGAAATTAATCCACATTTGTGGTTAGCTTACTTTTGCTATCACAAACTCAATATGTTAAGTATGTTTAAAGTTTGATCTCCCATGTACAACAATGCCTCATAGTTGCTAGGAGTTACTAGAATGTGGGATATATGAAAGAGAGATTTAAAAATAACCCTGGAGATGGGGTAGCTATATGATATCAATGATTGATAAAAACTGTGTAAAGAAAAAACAGGAGTTTCATGAAAGAATACTGCATTTCCCCCTGCCTTTTTGTTTGTAAACTATTGTACATTATTTTTGCAATGCATATTTGCTTTTTATAGTCATAGTAGCAAGACTTCAGAATAATTTCTTGAATAAGCATTGGTCAAAAGGCAGTTCAGGAAGAGTTCAAATGTGTTTTGCTCACCGGCTGCTAGGTTTTCTCTGGATTATACATATTTTAGTATTTAATTTCAGAAAGCAAAAGAAGATAAGTCCTGAGCTGGCATGAGGATTTTGTGTGCAGTCAAGGGGTAACAAAAGTGGGGCTCCAAATTTGGGCCCAGCATGGGAAGATGCAAGAGATGCAGGGGAGAGAATGGCTTTCTACTACACAGATGTTTAGATATGAGGCTTGTGTAATAGCACAGTTTCTTTGAGGAGAGTTGGAAACTGCTTATTTAGACTATCTGTGTGTTGAAAAATTATTAATAAAATAGAAACTTTGTGTTTTGCATATTGTATCAATTAAAAGAAAGGGTCTCTGTCAATGTATGCAAAAATTATTTTTGTGCTAATTCACATTATGTCGGTGCATTGAAAAGAATGCTGACCCTTAATAATTATTTCTTTTATAGAAGACAGTGTGCAAACCAGTAATTTATGATTAATTATTTCAAGGCTTAACACACTGTGAAGTTCTTCCTTTTCTGTGCCATTAAGCTTTCCCCACCTGATCCCAGCGCTTTATGAAGGGATGCACTTTTGTAGACAGTAGTACCACATCCTACATCATCCAGGGAGGTTCTGCTGTGCTGTCAGCAACTTCCCGTGGCCCCTGCTATGGCTCATCATCCTTTTCCTCATCCAAAATAGACAGGTGCCTCCTGGACTTGAGTTCCTTGACTGGTGTTCTTGCATAACCCCTGATGTGCTCACATGAAACTCTGTTCCTAAGTAATTTTCCAGTTGTGAAGTGCAGAAAGTATAATTTATTCAAGAAGTTTGCTGTTAAGCTTGCTGTGGTGTAAATCACTATAACTGAAACTCTCTTTGTGTATTAGGCATTTGGAAACTTCAGTAAAGAATTTTTTTTTTTTTTTTACTTAACATACATGCAAATAAAACTGCACCCTCACTTTTACAGGAAATCCATCTCAATATGACGTGGCAGTCTGGCTTAGAGCCGAGCATGGTGGAAATTAAGTTACAGTATTGCCCTCAAGTGCCTAGCTTTGGTACTACTTGAAGTATCACCCACACGTATTTAAAGTGAGATGGAATGCAAACATACATACAGAGAAAAATGCTTACAAAGAGCAAAAAGGCTTGGAATTTTTTTTCCCTTTATTTTATGTCTGTTTGTGTTTTATTTTTGTTTTTGTTTTTTAATTTAATATCACTGCCTTGTAACTTACAGGAGCAAACTCAAAAGAAAAATTACCATCAATTCTTAACCAATTAGATTGCATGTTTACTTGGGACTAAAATTAAATTCACTCATTAGGTTCTGTTAGAATTCTGTAATGTTCTTCTTTCTGGGAGACTGGACACAATATAATGCCATCTCTGTTTTCTTTCCTCATGGTATCTATAATTTCTTGTTTCACTGATATAAGAACAGAAGTCAGTCTGGACTGGGAAGATCAAAGACATGCTTAGTCTGACACTCCATTTGTGGCAGTCAAGAGAGATCATGAAACTCTGTAACAGGACAAACATAAAGTGGTAGTGGTCCCTAGGCAGACTATATCTATTTCTGGTAACTTGTGGGGTTAGAAACACAAAACTGGAAGTGGAATATATGTCTTGATGTTTAATAAACTTCAGTGGGCTTTTATGTATGCAGTTCTCTACTAGATTTTTTAAATTCATGAATGCTTTTGGTCTTAGCAATATCTTTGAGCAATGATACTGTACAGTTATTTTACATGATGCTTGGGAAAGAGTATTTGTTTGTTTTAAAACAGAAGCAAAGTCAAATATGACTTGATTTCATATCCTTAATTATTGTCTCAAAAGAAAAAGAAATCCTTCCTTCTTTGTCTTCTTTGTCTGTGTCAACCTGTCATGCAGTGCAGAAATAAAATTCTTTCTGGAGTTCTTTTCTGCTTTTCTCATTTTGAACATCCCTATTTAGCTAAGTAAGAGCTTGAGACTGATTGTCCTCTACAACATGTGGATATATCATAAGTTTTTCCACTATTATCCTGGCCCTTAGCTCTCTGGTGTTTTTCTAGTTCACATATCCTCTTGCTTTGGCTGTTCAGGCAGCTCTGTAAGCATGCCCTTCTGTGGCTTCCAGCTTTCCTAGACCTGCCTCCTACTACCCTGATTCTTCTCACTCTTCCTTTTTTTTTTGAACTCCAGCTTCTCTTAGTCAAGATTATACACTTTTGGTCCTCACAGTAACCTGGGAAATACTGTTGGTAAATCACCTTTACTTTCCCACTAAGAAGTCAGAGCTG